TTAGATTTTTTTAAATTATTTATTTATTTATTATTATTATTTTGTACCTCATTGGAATGAAAATGAAGAATTGACAAGAATCGGACTCATAAAAATTCAAACGATCCCAACCTTACCCATACCCCACATTAATTTTTACTGGCAAATTTCAATTCACACTGTTTTAAACCCTTTATTTTCTTTTAAACCCTCATTTACCCTTCTTTGCTTTTGCCCTTCTTAAAAACAACCACATAATCTTATACGTGAATGTACTTTTCAAAATTAGTTATAAAACAGTTGCTCGCGCGAACATAGGCGCATTTATGTAGATGGGGGGTGCATTCCCTTCAGAAACAAATAATCCACTGCGAGTTCAGCGGCTCAGATGTCGGGAGTAAATGAGGACTGCTGTGTTCATTATTACATCCAACAACAGAACACCTCAATCGCTTAGGAGTCATTCTTGTCTACATCTGCTCCAGTGGTGAAACAATGGCGGACTGATGACAGCTCACTCAGGGCGGGTCTAAGGTAAGACACCAGTCCAGTCTGTGCTGAAACGCTACTGTCAATCAAACTATCGTGGCAGGGGCCTGTCTGTGTGACCTCATTTAAAAAAAAACACTGGGTGGATTTTTATCATTATAGGGTGGTTGTGTACACACACTGCCAACACACATTTGTTCAAACAACTTCAAAAAGTGCATGTAGCATCCTATGACCCCTTTAACATAGTGTCAAACATGACAATTTATGAAACTAATCTCATGTTTTGCTCCAAAATCACTAGGCCTATATAACATCAGTTGTGTTCGAAACAGTTAGCGTCTGTGGTTCCATGTTGCTTCTTATGACAGAACGAGACAGAAAATATTTTTTATAAAAATCTTTACTGTGATGCAAGCTGTCAATTAGCGTTGCATTGCAATTGGGTGTTTATTGTCTTCCACGTTTCATCAGTCAAAGCATCTCTATCTGCATGTTATTCAGCTGTAGTGATATCTGATGCATTTGTCCATATAAGGGATTTCCTGGGTCTGACTTGTGAAACAGACATTAAAGTACATGAGTGTTAGGGTTAGGGTTAACCCTGCTCCATAATGCTCACGTCTCATTTTGGGTAAAAATAGAAAAATAATACTAAAGTGCTTTGTAACGCAGTAACTTCAGTAGTTTTTCAGCAAACTACTTTTTTACTCTTACTTGAGTCATATTATTTTTCAGTACGTTTACTTGTACTCAAGTAAATTATTCCTTAAGTAGCAATACTTTTACTTAAGTACAATTTCTTAGTACTCTTTCCACCACTGCAGTGTATGTACAGCTTCATTGATTATAACAGGAGTTTTGACTGCTTAAACTCTGGCTAGCCTGAAGTCAGTGATAACATAATGTGAATGTTCTTTGCTCGCTTTCTCCATAATTTACTCGCTGTTTGAATAACTGTGGAAATTAAAGAGTTATAATTAATAACTTAGAATGTTTTTATTAAATTGTCATCACTTTAAATACAAATTCAGTCATATATATTTCAGTCATGAAATATTTCATGACACCATATCTGGTACTTGTCTAAACAGATGAGTTTATGATGTATGTAGTTAGAGTACACTAACATTAGGCTACTTTTGATATTTAATTCTGATGGTGGTACACCTATGTTTGGCAATGTTTGGTACACCTAATTAACTGATATTGAATAAGCTTTTATCTTAGGTTATTAGGTTCTCAACGCTAATGAGGACAAGACAAAAAAAAGGGAATATACTGTGTATATATATATATATATATATATATATATATACACACACTGTATATATATATATTGTTACAGAAGTACACTCGGAACACAGAGATACAGGTAAGTAGGAGTTTGACAACAATCGTGAGCTCAGCAGGAAATCAGGAGGGTAGACTGGGTAATGATACTGGAGTCGAGAGGACGAGGAGTATAATGAGAGTCTCTATCTTACAGGACCAGGAGATCGGGAAGGAGCTGATGACCAGAGGCACGGCGACGAGGACGAGGAGAACACGCTGGAGAAACAACAGGTGGTGAGTTCAGGAACAGACACTCAGGTAAAGAGACTAGCGTAGAAGCTACTGGCATAGTCCTTTATGTGTTAACGAGACCAGACACTGGAGTGAGGTGCTGAGTGTCACTAATCAGTGAATTTACCTGTGATAAAAAATTGCAGTTACACTATCCAAAATATAATAAGTTTCAGAACAACATGATTTCAAATTTCCTCTGCAGTATCAGTTCAAGATAGTGTACAAATGCAAACATTAAACATCCTAGAGTCATTGTGATGTATGCATATAAATAAGAATGTTTCATGAGCTTTCTTACGTATTTATGTGATCTATAGTCTCTTCAGAATCATATTTTATCTATTGCACAACACATGAATATGTTGGAACTGATGCGAAGCATTAACTCAGTTCAGAGCAGAGAAAATAGCATTGCATTATAAACAGCCAGAATCAATATTGCATACAGATTGCACATTTTTGTTGATAATCATTTTGAATTTTTGAAGATAATCGTATATGTTGCATTAAAGCACTGTTTAGTATTATCTACTGATATTGTGTTTTACTGTAACTTCCTCTTCTTGTACAGTACATTAATAGCAAATACTCACCAGCAACAACAACCATTTCATATTTTTATTTTGTTTTATTTTATTTTTTATTAAAACCATACAAACATTTGTTGTAATCTGATATATAAAAAGAGCATTTAGACTTTGTTCCCAGTCTAAGGGTGCTAGGCACCGTGATTCTATTTTGATCACATGTTTGAATACTTATACTAATTCTGACCCCCTGATTCCACCTAAACTCTTAACTAGTCATAATTAATATGTATTTACAAGCATAAAAAACAAATGTAATAACTATCAAAAACAACATTTCTCAATGGCTAACCCAGTGTTTCCCAACCTTTTTTTAGTCGCGGCACCCTTTGGAAATTTTAACAAACTTGTGGCACCCTACAAAATAAATTGTCACAATATTTGAATTTCTAACTTCGATATGATAATTTGAAAAGTATAGATATTCGGTACAACAGGGAAGAACTGCAGAATATAATGTCATACAGATATTTTTAATATTACTAAAACATTTTGTCCATCAACGGTGGCAATCAGTAGGCTAATTTCTAATGAAGAGACCAATTTATATGACAGATTTTAATGTAGGCTTTTATACATATGTAAACATTATTTAATTACCATTATAACTAGCTATCTCACAAATTATTGCTCACTCAGTGTTTTTTTTATTTTACAGTTGGGTAATTTTGGTACAGTAGCACACCCCTGCTCTCGACAGACGGCACCCCAGGGTGCCGCGGCACCCCGGTTGGGAAACACTGGGCTAACCAACAGAATGTGGTGTTCCATGTAACATGTGAAGTCACAAGACTCTTTCCATACAAAATTTGTTTCTCTTTAATTCCTTAAAAAAAAAAAAAAAAACAATTGGCAGTGTCTCTTTTGTATGGACAAGCGTTGATAAGGCACATACCTTAGGCTCAAAGCCTCTAGTCCTTTTAAAGAGGAATATGTCATACCAGTTCTATGTTCAAAACTAAAGAAAGATGCTGATACACAACTACAGAACATTTTCAAATAACCATACAGAATCAAACAGAACCTAATTATTATTATAACATTTAAAAACTGTACATATGCAGGTAGAAACTGCAGGCTAGTTTTAATACTGCTAAAAAGTCTCTTAGCTCTTGAAGTGGAGCTTGAAGTGTCTTGGTGTTTATAATTGTCCTTATTCAGAAATGGTGAAAGTAGAGGTTTTTATAGACAAGCAAAGACAGGCTGCACTGCTGTGACAAAAACAGCACACAACTGGCTGATATAAACAAGATAACAAATAAAATTACTGGTATATTTGGATAAATTTAAACATGACTTGATACCATTGCTTCAACACATTTTGGCCACAAATAAAAAAAAAATATATATTTGTGCAATGAGCAACATGTTGAGATTGACTCAAATGACCACAATGCTTTTTTTGTCATGTAATGCATCAGCACCAGTCACTAACAATATGATCAAAATTATGCAACATGTAAATTTTTGCAATATAAAAAATGAAGAAAAATATTAACATTTATTTACAAGGATACAGTAAATATAATCAAGATATTAAATGATCAGCTCTAGCATTTTGCTCTACACTTATCATACCCTTGCACAACAAAGTGGTTCCTCTTACTTGCCATGTTGGGAAAAATTGGTCAGCAACATTTGGTAAGACTTGTATAATCACTGCAACATTGTTGATATAAGACACTTAAGAGACATTTAGACATTTTAATCAAAATACGACACTTGGGCCTGTTAAGAGTGATATTCGACCCTGTTTTGACCTTATGATAGTTAAAGTCTGTGCATATTCACACCATCTTTGTAGTATGCAATGCACTCAAAAGTAAAGATACATAATACAATTAGTTAACCTACTCAGTTTAGTGAATACTGTGTACACTTAATAAGGAAATTATCATGCACTTGTAGCAACAATGTACAACAAAACATAGAAATATCACCAACACAGAGAATACTGTTTCAATGTGATAAAAAGAAGACCCGTATCTCCATCTGTAATCGTCATATAACAATATAAAAGAAGGGTTTTTAAAATAGCCTCTATTCCAGAAATGGAATGGTTCTATTGGTCAATGCCTCTAGGAAGATGAGACAGGTTTAAGATTGTGTACCAACTCTTTGTCATCATCACCTAATAATCTATTTTAATAAGTATAAAGCAATAACTTTCTTTCTCATCCCACATCTTTACATTACATACATAAGTCTGTTAAATGAGGGGGAGTGCACAGATTACTGCAAAATAGCCAGAAATTTGCTTTCTTCTGCAAGGGTGGTGAGGAGGGAGCTCATGTCACCGATAGCCATGTTGTTAGTTCCTGGATGAAATGGAGCTGAAACAGGAGGAGTAGTCAGCCGAGAGGAAGTTCTAGACAGACCCTGGAAAAAACTGGGACTGATTATGTCAGACACCACACTACCCTGCTCATAACCATCCTCAAGGATGGAACAAATATCTAAACCAACATTATCTAAGACACCTGGGCTTTCTTCTACTGTACTGGTCACCTGATCAACCCCAGGGGACAGAAGGACCTCAGAAGGTGTTTCTGTCTTAGCTGTCAAGCACTCCATTAGACCTGACTGTGCTATGTCATGAGAAGATGACGTTTTGGATGTGTCAAAACACTCAGCAATAAACACAGGCTTTTGTCGCTGGATAGAAGAGCAAGTGTTGGTATGAAGGCGATCATCTGCCTCAAGCTTCAGTCCTGAAACCTGATTTGCAAGAGAGTGATTGGTTCCATTTCTCAAGCTTTGCTGCTGGCATGAATGTGCATTATGACCGTTGATATGCTGCTGAATGAAGTAGGGTTGTGTGTGATTTAAGCTTCTATTGCCACTATTGACAGGTGGGTGAGTCATAGGAGGTTGGGCCTGGTGAGGCAGTAGTGTTGCCGGAGACAAGCTGCAGTTAGCTGGACTTTGCAACAAAAGGTTGCTGCTGATTTGATGTGTCATTGTTTGATTTAGTACGAGGTTAGTTTGGGATATAGTTGTCTGCTGGGTACAGCTAGGACGGAGGGGACCCAAAAAGATATGAGAGAAATCTGGTCGACCAAAGTTGTTGCGCCTTGAATCCAGTTTGGAGGTTGAAGAAGACTCTGTCTTAATGCCTGGATTCGTCCTGGACTGTTGTTGGTATGGCTTTGCAATTTGTTGATGTTGCTCTGGATGTATGCACCTGTAGTTCATACCTGCCATGTGTTGGACACCATCTCTACAACGAGTTGAGTGTTGATCCATGAACTCTGTATGCATTTGTTGCTGCACAACCATGTTTCCAAAGCGACCAAAGGCGTTGCTCACTATGCCATTCTGGTCTGACCATCTTCCGCACCTCTGAAACTGCTGCCTGGGAGGAGAAACATCAGCACTACCAGAGGTCACTTCAATACACTGGATGGGCATTACATCTTTACTATTGCTTTCCCCTTCTGACTCCTCCTGTTGCTGTTGTGGGTTGAGGAAGTTATGGACATCTGCAGTACCCTGGTCAAAACTGGATCTATGGGGACTGGAATCACTGCTATAGTTGTCTTGGCTGTGATCTGATTCTTGATCTTGGGAATGAAGATACTGTACCAAGTCATCCGGCAGAATGTCTTCATCAACATGTAATAGAAGACCATCTTGGTCTACTGCCAAGTCCTCAAGTGCTGATTGCTCCATAATGCTGGGAGGGCAAGGCGAGTGTAGACTCCTCTGAAAGATGTAGTTCTGTAAGCTCAGACTGTTATCTTCTCCATCTAAATAATGATTACCAGCAATATGGGGTAATAAATTCATGTTGTTTAAACTGCTGAAACGCTGTAACTGTGGCAAGCCAAAAGCACTAGTATCCCGTGTACGCACAGGGTCACTGGCTCTTCGATCATTATTCCCTGGACCTTCAACAGGATACAGTCCCCTTTGTTGATATACTGCTTGACTGCCATGTAAGTTATGTGTACCATCACTACAGCGACGTGGCCTGACCAGTGGTGGTAGTGTAAGTTGGCCCATGTTCTGTTTATCTTCCATCAAAGCCAGATGAGTCTTTAGGCTCATGCGCTCCATGTTTGGCAAGGGTGTGGGAGGAGGCCCACCTGTAGCAGCGGCATACTTGGCCTTCAGGTGATAGTGTTGAGCCGGAGTGAGGTTCAGAACACCTCTTGCCCGCATCCCACTTACTCTGATACTTCCACATCCACCGTACACCATCCCACCTGAACTTCCTCCACCTCCACATTGGCTGGCTTCACTGGAGCGTCGAGAGGCATCAGTGGAGATAGGGTCATAAGAGTCAGTGGCACTGAGATTGTGAATACGCCGATGGTGGCTGTGCTCAGACTGCGAGGCCTGGCTAGAACGGCGGCTGGAGAAGCAGGGGGAGATGCCAGAGGATCGACGACTGCTGCTCAGGTAGGCCGAGCTGGTGTTGCTGCCACTGCTGTCCCGGCGCTCATGCAGCAAATTCAGCACTGTCAGCTCTGTGTTGGACGGCTCAGGACGTGGAGGAGGCTGGGGAACCCCCACAGAACTACTCCTACCAAGGCATGAACCTAATAATGAGAGATACTCTTATTAGGAGAGGTTAATGTTATCATTATGATGCCATTATAGTCATAATTAGGCATTAATGGGTAAGTTCATCCAAAAATGAAACTAAATGAAATGAAAAATGAAGAAATAAAGTACATGGATTGTATTTTGTGTCAAGTTTTACTAATCTTGATTTCTCAAAATGGTCCTGATTTCTCCTTTTATGGTCCGAAAAAGAAAGAAGGCAACACAGCATTTAAACAACACCAGGGTGAGTAAATGATGACTTAATTTTCATGCTTGGGTGACCTAACCCTTTAAATGTGTAGAGATCAGTATATTGAGAAAGCTCTGAAAGTAAGGATGTACTTGCACTAGGCACGGGTGCTTTGTACCATGCCCAAACACGATTGTACCCCCTCCCCACTCCCCTGCTAGCCTGCATTCATATTGCACATTCATATTGCACTTTCCGGGCCTGAGCACGTCTTTATGATGTGACTGTTTTAAAGAAAACAGGATCAAAAGTGCTCTCACTCAGCATCACAGAATCCATCGTAATGTAAAGTCTGTGGCTTATTATTTTGAGCCAATTGGGGTGCGGTGACACATGGTCCACTCACATGCATAATATGTTGTTTAATAGATCTTGGTTGGTAGATTGGTTGAGAGATATTGGTTAAATGGAACAGTTGCACAATTGACGTCATGTGTCTCGAGTTCCGTAATCTGGCATTGTTAGTGCTCATAATATATGAACCGTGCCTGAGCCCACCTCTACAAGCGGGCCAGGGAACACCAGTCAAATGAACTGAACATTGGGGGTCAAACGTGCTCGGGTACGGTTCAGATTGCCTGGTGTGAGTACACCCTCAGACTTACCCTTTCCTGTGAGGGCAGGCAGGGCCTGGCCTTTAGGGGGCATTGTTGGTGACATATGGCCTAGCCTAGGCACAGCTCCATTCACCTGCCTTAACCTCTCCATCTTAACATGCTCCATCCAGCGTAGGGGCCGTCCTACACTTCGGCGAGTCTGCAAAGCTAGTGTTGCCACCGTGGTTGTTGCAGTGGATACTGTAGAGTCCATTATGGGGGAATCGTCTTCCTCTCCCTCTCCTTCCTCATCCTCCTCTTCATTTTCCTGGTCCTCAAGAACTGCCTCCTCCCCCGCAAGCCCAATGCTGTTCACAGCAAGCTGGACTCCACGGCCGATATGGGGGCCGCTGGTGGACTGGTCACTGCTGCATGAAGACTGACTGCCAGTGCTTGGCTCAGACGTCTAAAAGGGGAAGAGAGGAGAAAACATTTATTTAAAATTTTATTTAAAATATTTATTTATAATTATTTAAAAATAACAATCCTGATCTTCTGGCACATTTTTTACAGGTGAAATGGATGAATGCAATGAGGAGAGTGAAATGCCATGTTGACAAAATTTCTAAAATTTTGGCATATAATAACACCTAATAGAACCGAGGTCTGAAACCCACTGTCCTCCAATGTTTATTTCCAACCTGCTTGAACACACCTACCTGTAATTGTCAAACTATCTTGAATACCTTGATTATCTGGTTCAGGTGTTTGATTAGGATTGGAGCTAAATTCTGCAAGACTGTGTATCTCTGTAAGAGTACTGTATATGTTGTTAATGAGAGCAATAACTTTTACACAGTTGTACACAGTAAATTTTGCTGTCTACATAAAAACACTCTTTGAATAACGTTCATCTCCGCTTTTACACAGAATGTAAGCTAAAGTAAATCACAGAAGTGTGAGAAACCGGTTTTCATTTGCTCAGCAGCTGGCAATACCAGAACTAAATAACCAACAGTGGGAGCAGAGGTAAGCTTGTTTGACCCATTTTAAGAAAACAGGCCACATGGACAACGGTCTCCTTTTAGAGTTGTTGGGTCCAAATTAGGTTGTTGTCTGTGTTGCAAATGGATAATGGCCGCTAAAGAATGAGATGTCTTGTTAGTAGTGGTGCAAGAAAGCTTGTATTTTTCTTGATCGTGATTACAATGAGCTGTTTCTGAACATAGACCTAAAGAATGAACCGGAACACAATGAAACCACAAGTGCAGGCACAGTTCACTGATTTAAAACCAAGTTGCCGAGCCGAATACACATACAGTTACTAGTAGTAGCTTTATCATGCAAGCTGATATAATACTCATGTGACCATAGTCAACAATATTGTGACAAAAAGGATGCACCATGATACAAATAAAAACATTACTAATAATAATGTAAGAGATGCCATGATGCTGTTGACCATTGACTGAATAATTGTTCCAAATGGCCCAGAATTGAAAGGACAGAATGAGCAGTGAAAAGAGAAAAGATCAGACCTATAATGACATGACCATTCTCACCTTATCACCCACTGTCCTTAGTAAGAGAGGAAAAGTAATGCATGTGGTAGTGGACAAAAAAGATTCAGTTATTAATTTGAATGTGCATGTAGCTGTAGCTGGCTGTAAGCAAGTATTAGCTGAGCAGTTATGAAACCAGGAAAGGAAAGGGTAAACATTAGTAAGACAAAAGACATAAAAGGTTTTTTTTTTTTTTTTAAGTTTACAGGTGCATCTCAATAAATTAGAATGTCATGGAAGTTAATTTATTTCAGTAATTCAACTCAAATTGTGAAACTCGTGTATTAAATAAATTCAATGCACACAGACTGAAGTAGTTTAAGTCTTTGGTTCTTTTAATTGTGATGATTTTGGCTCACATTTAACAAAAACCCACCAATTCACTATCTCAACAAATTAGAATACTTCATAAGTACTTCAAACATTTTAAGTGAATTGTTGGCCTTCTGGAAAGTATATTAATTTACTGTAGATGTACTCAATACTTGGTAGGGGCTCCTTTTGCTTTAATTACTGCCTAAATTCGGCGTGGTATGGAGGTTGAGTTGAATTACTGAAATAAATTAACTTTTCCACGACATTCTAATTTATTGAGATGCACCTGTAGTTATTTATGGAGTTGAAACTTTAGCATAGCAAACCATCATTTTTTGGTTTTCATTTGTTTAAATTTCTGTTTGTTTGTTTAAAATGGAAGGAGGCTTACCATGGGCTTCTCTGTTTTGATTGACTTTACTTGTAGATATTCATCTTGTTTCGAGGTAGCATGATTATACTCCCTTTGGTCAGTGATCGCTCTGAGAGGCAGTTGTCCCGGTGACTGACCTTGTCCATTTCCTCCAGGTTCTCGGGGCTGAGGTGGGGGACGTGGGTATGTATCTCCACACTGTTTCTTGGTAACATGTGCTTCGGGACCATGTACAGTCTTAACATGTTTCCGTAAAGAGCTGGGATCAGTGTATCGTTTAATGCAACCAGGGATTTTACACACATAGGGTTTCTGAGAAAAATAAAAAGAGAGGGAGCATTGGCATGTTATAGAAATAAATGTCTGCTAACTTTTTTAACAACTTAAAGTCAACATGAATGGTAGTTCCAATCCAATTTAAACATTTGATGTATTCTGAGTGAAAATAATATTCAACAATAAAATTAGGAAAGAGCTAGCTGGACATGATTGCTATATGACAGGAAGTTGAAAGGGCTGAAAATCAAAACAGCTTGTTGATGTCAGCCAAAATGGAAAGATCTAGAGTTGGAGCAGGTCATCAGATTTTGGAAGAAAATTTTACCTTACTAAAGGTATTGTTTTTCCTGTTACAGTAATGTGCACAGTTGAATCGTTCACGATAAGACCAGGACCATGTAATAATAAAGTAAATATGGTCAGTTTTGATTTCATGACTATAATTTCTTCTTGTCCAAACCTGAGAGTGTTAGAAGCAAAGTACATTGTTTAATACTTGGTATATTCATGTATGTGAATTACCTCATTGGAGTGTGTGCGATTCTGGTGTTTGGCTCGGTCTGATGCATTGGAAAAGGCTTTGTTGCAGCCTTCATGTTCACACACATAGGGTTTCTCTCCTGTGTGTGAGCGCAAATGTGTCTTCAGGTTCTCCAGTCTGGAGTAGGCCTTTGAACAGCCTTCAAACTGAGAGAGAAAAGGACACACAGTTATATTGATTTGCTCTAGACAGACCAAGACTGTTGAAACAGGTAGGTTCTCAGGTAAGCCCACATCAAAAGTTGTCCTACCTACTGAAATTAATGTCTGAAAACAAAAAATACCATATGTATTTAATATAATTCTCACCGTGCATTTATGAGGCTTCTCTCCTGTATGTCTGCGCATGTGCACTACCAGCATGTACTGGGCTTTAAAGGGTTTCTGCTCTCTTGAACATTCTTCCCAGCGACACACAAACTCCTTCTTTTCTCCATGGATGTGATCATTATTTATGTGCTATGAGAGGAAGAGAAGGTCAAAGTTCATGTTAATGAATAACATGATATATGGCAGAAGACAATTCTACTTTGTATGTGAAATATGCAATGGCATTATTGTGCCACTAGAGGGCCTCAGGATCACAAAATTGAGCCTTAAACAACTGCTCATCAACTGCTTAACCACAGCAAGCACTGCAAGTCTACTGTAGCTTAATGTTTCACCCCAGACATTAACACATTAATAATATCTATGTAATATCTGAACTTATGGAAGAAATTCAACATTATAAAACCAGGGTTTACACTAAGGAGGATGTCCAAAGTTAAAGTGTCTTGTCTACTGGTCAGCAGCAGCAGTCTTTAAGGGAACTTACAGAACCATCTGGATCAACATTGAAATGCCTGTTTAAAATCAAAAGAAGCCTGTCTTTATCTTCAATCTGTATTTTGTCAGGCTTTACATGCAGTTTGTATAGAAACCAATGTCTGCCACATAATAAAAAAAAAATCATGCTTTGATAAAAAATAATTATGACAAAAATCTGAAATTATAGCATACTAAGTCATACTTACGAGATAAAAAAATTGAAATGGTAACATAAAAAGTCCAAAATAGTCAGAAGTCAAAATCATGATACACTAAATCATAATTATTACATAATTATCGATGACAAAAAAAAAATCTAAATCGTATGATAAAAGGCTGATTATAAAACAAGGCAAAGAAATTTGACCATAATTTGGATTTAGTATGTCATAATTTTGACTTTTTATTTCATTGTGATTTACCAGATTATATATGTGATGGAAATGGGCTTTATGGGATTTATAATCATTTAGTTCTGAACACTTACTTTAAATGACTTTATTTTATTGGAAAACATTTCTATTATTGAGTATTTATCTTTGAATGTTTGTGAAAAGTAATTGATAAAACTCTTTTTTTCTGGTTAGTGTATGATCCTTTCTTTCTTTCATTTTTTGTTTTTACAAACTGCCTGCTTCTCCTCACACCGTTATTCTTTCTCATTTGTCATCTTTCAATTTCATTTTCTTCTCTTTCTTCTCTCTCTCTCTCTCTCTCTCTATCTGCTCAGTATGCTCAGTCTGCTGTGAGTGAGCATGCTTTGTGAGTCTCAGTGTCTGATTTAAACGGGATTTCAAATAAAACCCTGTCACCTCCCATCACTATAGGCCTTTGGCCTTGTCATGACAAGTGCTGACAGTTGTGCTACTGTGGCAATTTTCAGTCTAAGGCTTCAGGAGGGGTGGAGCAGGAATGGGGGATACATTTCGGGGTGAAAGATGTTGAAAGATTAGTGAAAGCATCTCTAATGCCAGAGCTTTCCACCTGCAGCCTATAGCACCTCTATTCACACCTCTTGTTGATATTTTCACCTCTGGCTTAACCAAACCCCAATACTTCCTCTCTTTCATTTGCCATTTTTCTCTCCTTCAAGCCATCAGTTAGTTCCCTGTTGCGTTTCTCCTATCTTTCTCTCAACATGCTGTCTCTGCTTAGGTCCTTCTCATTTTTTCTATATAACCTTTTTTTTTTTTTTGTCTGGCCATCTTTGTAACACACACACATACACACACACACACACACACACACACACAGACACACACACACACACACACACACACACAGACACACACACACACACACACACACACACAGACACACACACACACACACACACACACACACAGTGAGGGAGTTGTGAAGAGAAAAACACACATTTTCATGCAAACTGAGCAGATGAAGTCAACATCTGGCATCCACACAAAGACAACAGTGTGCAGCACTTATGAGTGCTTTTCCTGTCCTGAAGCCATTTGATTTCAAAGGGACAGACACAATATCCTGAACATAAGTGAGCAGGATTAATGAATTCCAAAGCAATGGAGCATCTCCGCAAGAGACAGAAACTCTTGGATGGAAGACAGGGAAGAATATACGAGAGAAAGACAGACAGACAAGCCAAAAGACAAAGACAAAACAGAAAAAGAAAGACAGTCAGTGAGTTGACTTCCCTCACATACAGAGCAGAAGAGGGGACAGACCAGAGTGACCGCAGGAAGGCCAAGAAAAGGCAGAGTAAAACAGCTTCTAAAAAAGAGTGAGAGGTGGCAGCAGAGACAGAGAGCAGAGCTCATCCTCTATTCCTCTTCATGACACAAAGGCGGCCTGCATCACAGTCCTCCCTGTCACCTCGCTGCAGTTGCAGCCAAACTTTCACAGAGTTTGGGTGAGGAACATACACATTTGTGTGTGCGCGAGTGAATGTGTATGCACACACTCTATTTTTGCACTTCTGCATCACTAGAATTCGAAGTCGGACTGTCATTCAAACCTTCCTTTTAAACGAAAAGTCAAACTTCAATCACGTCGGTTGATTTTACGGCAAATGATCACCATGAGAATGTCCTTAATTGAAAGCAACTGTCCAGATTTCAGTTTGTATTAACATCTAATTATTTTCACCCATAAAACATGGTGTATAGAACTACTTTATAAGGCCAATGTATATTTCTGTTTTGACATGCTTAGCATGTATACAGCCAAAGGCATAGCCTTTTAAAGTATACTCCACTCAATAGTGTGCGTACACTGCAGTCGACACACGCACTGCAAAGTTTCATCTTTGTCCAATGTCTGCGCTGTTTCTCTCCAGACATTATGACCAATAAAAATGTATTTTTAGCCATTTAAACGAGTGTAATGAGACTGACAAGATTCCCACTTCTATAAGCACAACAGATGTCTTTGCATTTTTTTTAGAAAATATGTTTTATTTTTTCTTATGTAGATGAAAGTATTATTAAATTAGATAAAATGTCGGTAACACTTTCTACGAAGCCCGTATTTATAATACATTATAAGGGTATTCTTAAGGCATTATAATGAATGCATAATGCATTATAAAAAAACTTATAATATATCAACTCATGAATAATCATAACAACAATTATAATACATCATAATACTTACGTATTTGTGGTTATAAGTTTAAGAGTATGATTATTTATAACACACAATGAACACCATATTAAATCTACTTAATTTACAGTATAATGGACTGTATCATATCTTGACATTGTTTAAGATCTGCACAGTATCTTACTACAGCTTGTGAGTGGTTAGATGTTGAGTGTTTCCTGTGGAGCTAAT